TTATATGAAAGTGCTTCTTCACATAAGAATCGGCGCAACTCTCGGTGAATGATCATTATGTCAGCGAATGGTATGTCGATGCTGCTAACGATTATGAAATCCGAGCGTCTCTTTCTCTTTCAACAGGCTCTTTTAAAATTGCCGCTGAACCTCCTTTTTTGTCCACTACCAATGTCGATTCATACTTTATTGTTTGCTACTTAGAGACAGTTATTTTCTATCGCCAAGTGTTTACGCTTCACATTCAATCACGTCAAGAAACAACAGTTTCGATTACCAGATTTACAGTAGTCACAGTTGACAAGCATTCGGTAGTACAAGTTAATTTCAGTAAGACATAAGAAAGAAACAAAGTAAAAAAGGATTTGATACTAATTTTCCCTCTCTTTTATTAGAAAAATCACGCGTTTTCGACTGCGTTGCATGAAAGTAAAATGATTAAAAATGTTTAAAATTTAAATAACTCTAACCAATTAACTTTATAGCTCATTAAAAATTAATTTTGATAGTTTAGAGACATATTACTCAGGAGTTGAATATTGGATCGACTACCATTAAAGCAAATATCGTATGAAGTCTGAGTTTTCACACAATTCGAAGATGTTGCAACAGTTATGATAGTGATCCAACGCACATTTTTATTATTACCGATTTAAATCATCAAATAATCCAAAAATTTCTAAAAAAAATAGGCTTCTGTAATTAATCAATTTAAAAATCTGATATTTTATATGTAGGTAGCGTGTATTCCTTTCACTATTTTTTCTAGAGTCAATTATCAAATTAATAGACTTTATTTTACAAAAGGTATAAAGCTCGTTAATTACGTAATCTATACTACTATTGCCTTCTGCTTTTTTCGTAAGATTTGATACAGAATAGAATCGATCGTTCTTTTTGTAGAATATATATATATATATATATATATATATATATATATATATATATAATAGCTTGATTGTGATTATCGGCAATAGATATAATTGTCATATATAAGATAAGATTACTACTTTATTTACGTTTTTAACGAGTTTTAACAATTTTTCTGTCCAGTAGGGAAGAATAATAATGTAATTCTTGTCTTTGTAAATGAACTGATGGCGATATTAGATAACGAAACGGTTCGTATTCTAGGTGAAAGTTTGATTTATACAAAAAAGCGTGCTATTGATCTTCATTATCATTGCGTAAACTCGGATGCCAATAATATTCGAAGTTCAAGTGGCTCATTTGTATACGGAACACGATCATCTACAACATTTTGTAAGTTCAAAAATAAAAAATATGACTACTATAAAGACAATTTTGACAAACTTTTGTATGGACAAAATCAGGCAAATTATATGAGGGTCATATTAGGAAATACGAGCATTGATTTATGAGCATTTCGACGGGTTACGTCAGATCCTAGGATGGGCACCTACGTAGCGACTTTTTCAACGGCACCAAAGACTCAAGGGCTCCTTCTTTTCGTAATTTTTAGCGATTTTTATTTACATGGAAAACAGCACATTTTAAATATGCACGCCAAGACGAATTAACTATTCGTATGACGTCATGTTATATAACATTATTGAATTCCTCACGGATGATTCTTTGACGCTTCTGGTTTGTTGATAGAATATCACTGAACTTTGAACATTTACGTTAATTTATTCTGTAAAAACGATAAGAACTGTTTCTAATTAATGAAATGTCTTGGAATAATTTTCGTTTTGTTCGTAAACAAGATGTAATTTATAATCGTTATTTGCGGCTATATAAATTAGGCACACAACACGTATAATAAATATACCAAAATAGAATGAAAACGCGTGATATCGTGTAATTAAATTCCACGAGGAAGACAGTTACAACGAAATTGAAAATAACTACAAAGTACCCCACAATTACCAGGATTTACAATTATCTTGTAGGAGTACCTTCCAGCAATTTCCTTGAATTTTTTGAACTACTTTAAATTACTCTAATTAATTTGTACGAGCAATCCTTTTTCATGACATATCGATTAGAATTTTATAAAGACTAGTTAAGCCTATTTTTGATGTGACAGAAAATTTTTGGAAGAGATCCGTTTGTATTTTTGAAAACCTATACCTTTACAACGATACATCGCAAGATCGAAGGTCCTCTACGACCTTGGACTTAATACCAAGTGGTCGAGTGAGCGACTTTTTCTCGCGCGTGCCTTCTCTCGATAAGGTCGCCTAAGAAGCGAATACGTTTGCTTAAATCATTGGACATTCGTTTTATCTATCTTCACAAGATTTATATATTTCGACATTTAGGAAGAAACATTTTGTGAAAAATATGTTTATAAAATAAACATATAAAATAAACATATTTTCTGACTTGCAGAAATATCAGAATTTTTTTTTTCAATAATTTCAAAATACTCATTTTTTACTTTGAAAGCATTTGAAATTGATAATTTAATTCTTCAATCCGGTAGCTTATATTTATGAGATTTTTTAATTTCAATAATGATTTTTTTATGTGTTTCCGTCGGTAAAAAATCGAGAAATTCATTTTGATTAGTACTAATAGACGAATTAAAATCGTGTATTTTTTGTAAGGAAAATTGATTTCTCGAGGTTACAGATTTCTTTTTAGATAGAATATATCTGTAAGATACTAGTAGAGAAAGAATCAAAATTTGAGCTCGTCATCGTTTATTTCAAGTTTCAGGATCATCTTCCTTGAACTTGTATCGACAGAAAAACTAACTTTTCAACAAAAAAACTAATTGATGATTTAATTGACGATTTTAAAAAAACGTGTCCTTGAGCTATAACAATAACAATTTTGTAAAATATTTTTAGGAATCATGTAATTTTTAGCTGAGTTTATTAAGCAATGAAACAATTGAAAACAATGATACACTTATTATGCAGCTGAAAAACTGCAGTCGCCATCCTCTACTATAATTTTAAAGCAGACACACATGACATTTTAATAAAAAGATTACTCATTCCGTCGTTAATTTCGTATACCTTCATTTCCGTACACATCCGTAGACATTTATAATGCAGCTCTCTCATCTCTGTTTAATTTTACATGACAATAATTTGGAAAGTTCCAATTCATGACCATTTGTTTCACAAGGCAAAGAAATTTTTTTATTGCTTCACTTTGATATCGTGGAATTCTTTGAGTATCTAAAACTTGTATTTCTGCATTCTTTTGCAACTGTTTTTTGTAAAAAAATTGGCACCCAAATTCAAAGCCGTATTACAGTATAATAAATCATAAGTTTTCACAAAATAATCTCAATGCATTTAAATCAAACATTTAAATAAATTCTTCCTTATCACTTATAACAATTTCTTACACATTGATAGTCACTTGAATCAGCATCAAACGTAGATTCATTCTCAGTGGGCCCAATGTCGTTCGCTGAATTTTATAGCCGTAAATAAAAAAAAACTCGTTTCCCGAGCGTCATTATCTCAGAGTTTGGCTCCCCCAGTTTTTCGAAATTTTATTATTGTAACGTCCTTGGATTTCGTATTTCTTTAAACATGAATTATAAAGCTCATTAGGTCTTCGAAATACTTTTTCTGTCTGCTTGTTTCTCTCTCTCTCTCTCTCTCTCTCTCTCTCTCTCTCTTTCACACTGACAATGAAGAAAATTGTCTCATTGTAAATTATAATCTTAAAACAATATGCTACGGGCTAACATATGTTATTGATAAATCGAACTATTACGACTTTTTATTCTTTTGGTAGTTGCATAAACCGTTGTGTATAGTTTCATCCTCTGTTCTAAGGTTCGTTTAGTTCGCCTTGGTACTGGTTTGATTTATTAGGCAGTTCAGTGCACTTATAAGGTCACTGAACGTCCTTTGCTAATTTGCTGGTTGTAGCAGGGCTTCTGCTACGTTTATTTTGCTCATTCCGTAAATTATATAATGCGAATTAGCACCCTCAAAGGCACTGTTATTCAAACAGCCTAAATGTATACAATGCACACACGCCCGCGCGCACACACATACACACGTACACAGACACACACATAATCTTTAAATAAAGAAATTATGACAAATTAAACTTTTATGTTTTGGATATACAGCAATTTAAATAATTTGAATAAAGTAAGGAATAAATTGTAGATTAATGTACCATTCTCTAAGAGCATTGTTCCAGTAATATTCCATCTCAAAACAAGCTACATTTTTCTACTATTAAGTCAAACTTTTAAAATTAGTTTATTAAAAAAGACTTTGTTAAAATCATCAATGAAAATACTTTATACCATGAAGAGACGATCAACTTAATTATTTCTCTCATTATTATTCTTTGATATTCTTAAGAAATGAAAGAACAAATTTATCATTCATAAAATAGCGTTTGCACGTGTCAGTATCTCAAGCATCAATCATAGAAACTTATGTAATTCGGCAAGCAATTTTAATGCATATTATGTGTAGATACAATAGAAGCATGTACAATTAATATCCTGCGAGTTCCCGTAATTTTTTCATCCTATAAAAACATCTTTCTTCATTTGCCGCCAGAACACTCAAGCAGCAATTCTCGATCGGTTCACGATGAAAGAATTACAATTTTCTCAGATAAATTAGAGAATTTTCTTCTATCGATCACTCTTCAACTTTCATCTTACAGCTCGTTGTTATCTTTTCAAAGCCTGAATTGCCAAGCTGCTTAATTAATTTGATTACAGACTGTTGCACGACGAACGAGGATGGGCTAATTATTCATGTGAAATAAGACTGCGCGATTATTTATTTACCAAGAAAATACTTACCCATTTACGATTTATGCACATATTTTTGAATTGAGGGTCGTTTATTAAGTAATCCTTTCTCGTAGTTTCGAATCATAGTTGTACATGCTAGAAATATAGATGTTTGCCAATTATTCAAATATTCGATTTCGTGAATGACATTCATAGCTTTCTTGTATAATAAATTAGTTGCCAAATCTAAAACTCTACAAGATGATGATGAATAATGACTGTGATTTTTTTAATGTTTCAGAACCAGAAGTGTAATGTTGCCTATGAAGTATGCTGCACTTTAATCAATCAACAACCAGGTTATGGCCAAGAAGGTCAATTGATTAGCATCCCACAAGGAGCAGTTGGTGTTAATCACGGCTAGTTTATTTAATTATCAAAAATGTGATTCAATAACCCAATAACAACAATAACACTCAGTCATTTTTTCCTTTACACACTTATACGTCTAATGTCAAGGTCGAAAGTAAATTAAGCATAAGAAATTTCACACCTCACACCAACTCACTTAGCTAGATGCACGCAGAATAAATCTTCGTGTTTTTTAACGATTCGTGTATGTACTATGTTATTAACTTTATAACAACAAAATTTTAAAAGCATTGTTACTAACGCAATCATGCAGGCGTATCACGCTGAAGTACAGTATGTATTTATTTCATAAAACCAAGAGCGATAGTAGATGCACTAAACAGTGATCTTGAATTTGAAAAAAGAATTTCATAATATTTAAAGGCATATTAAAAAATGATAATGATCATCGCCGTCCCAATTCCTCAGCTGAAAATGTAAAACGACGATGAGCAAATTTTATCACGTAGCAAAACTGAAAATCCATATATATGTAAGATTATCCCATTTCAAAAGCCATAGCGTCTAAACTTGCAATTAGCATGAATTTCTACTCTACGAACAAAAAAGGAGAAGGACGAAGATAATACGGGAAGAAAGTCATATCTATCGAATGATTACGTCAAAAGTGTTTATACGGGAGAATAACCGAGGCCTCAACCCTCGGGCTGGGTCTGGGTTAAGGTCAATCAGTATAGGTTAACTACATTGTTCTTAGGAAAAAAAAATACTCCAGTGGAACTTTTTCAATCTTAAAGTTGAGTGGATCAACTTGAAAATTTATATCTGTAATGACCTTATCACGAATGACGCGTTAACTTGCATTGTATAATTATCGAAAGAATAGTGATTATTGGATATTACAATTAGAATCGATTATCAATCAACTTATTCTCTACATATAAGGTGTTAATCTTACTTTGTATAATGAAATTTTCGCAATCTATACGTGGTGTGTTTTTTCTTCCTTTTTTTATCGAAACATATAACCCAATTCCAACCTTCCACCTCATAAATGTCATGAAAAAATGTCAAGTTGTTAAAAATGAGCACCGAAAGGATCAACTGATCATACATGTTACACACCGAATGTAAATCATACTGCATAAATATGATCCATCAATCGTACAAGGATGAAACATTTTTGTGAATAAATAACGACTTTAAGGTTGCGGCACTTTTATGTTTTCACTGAATTTAAATTGAATGAATATTTGGCGGTCGTATTTCAAGCAGAGAAGACTCTTCTCGCGAGTGGAAAAACCCTACTAACGATATCATCGAAATTTTTCGCGGGCGAATTTGAGTAGACGTAGAATGAAATTCCTCAGAGATACGCGTCATCTATCTCACTAAAACACGGTATTTTAACCGGCGATATCATCGAAATTTTTCGCGGGCGGATTTGGAGACACATGCCGAAATTCCTTAGAGATGCGCGTCATTTGTCTCACCAAAACATGGGATTTCCCACGTGATAGAAACGGTTGAGATTCACGGCGATGACTATCGAATCACAAACTAAAATAGACTATTAAATCATCTGCGACATTGTTTCTCTGTCGTAATACAAAATTATTGAATAATAAAAGATTCAGCTATTGAAACAGGAGGTTGACTTTTCCATTTTGATATTATAAAAGATTCATAGCAATTAATCGACTTATGCACAATTGAACCGCATTCAAATATATAACTTATTAAAATTAAGTAAAACTTATTAAAACGTAAACAGTTATTGCAGAAAGTTATAATAAGTTAAGTTATATAGACAAACCCGATTTGATTTCACAACTGGAAAAATAAGCTGCAGTTCGAATTCTCGAGTTGAAAACAAAGGTAGGTTCGTCAACTGACGAACAATCGATGAAGGAGAGAAATTCGCGAACAAAAAGAATTACGGTATGGCATCTGCCCGAGATTCACTGTAAACAGGTAGACTCCGTTTTTCGATCGGATCCTTTTTTTAGTTCAAGGTCGTCTTTCCTCGCAAACATGAATGTAATGATACACCAAAATATAATCTCAAGTGACAATCTCATTATCTTTAAAAAGTTATTAATCGTAATGATTTTCCGTAAATATTTTTTTTTCCTCCGGAAATATTATATATAATAACATAATCACCTCTGGAAAATATTTGTTTTTCACTCGTTTCTCCAAAAACAATTCGGGGATAAAAAAAAACAAAAATAATACAAATTACGAAAACAAAAATCAGATAAAAATTCATAAATCTTACGAAGACTCAAGTTGGCTTGATTAGAATCACCAATTCGCATAGCACAAGCAAACGTCAATCACAGACTCGAGATCCGTACGTCGATGCGCAATCAAAAAAAAAAGTTTATGATAGTAGCGATGTTCATCTGATGTGAATGGATCCATAATTACGAGGAATGCCTACCAGGAGTAGGAAGTAGTCCAGCCAAAAGGCTGCTGCTACGCGCCGATAAACAGCATACAATTTGATAGCTAATTGATCGGCGATGATGACCACATCATTCACTGACGGGTATATAAGATCGTGATCGTTTAGGGAGCGAGCAGTGTAACTCGAACGTTCGTGCTGGCAACTAAGAGCGCAGCAACAGCAGAAGTAGTAGTAGCAGTAGAGGTTTTTAGAGGGATATAGTCAGATCCAAGGTCAGAGAGAGGATTTTTTGTGTTGTAAGTGGCAGCTGCGTCATGGGCTTCGTTGAGTGTAGTTTAGTGGCTCTAGCGCTTCTCGCGCTGCAGTATCAAGCTTTGGCTCAAGTTCATGCTTCCAGTAAGTTTTAGTGGATGTGCAGTGATTCACTTATTTTATCATCTTCTTTCGCGAGTAAACTTTAAATGATACGCTTTCGAGCTTCAAAAACACATGTATTTTGTATTTGAGTTTCAATATTGTTAAATTTAGAGCATAACTCAAACAGATTATCAATCTCAACTTTATTATTATTAAGTACATTAATGACTACAAAACTATTAAGCTTTTGCGTGGTTAAGTGTGTACAATGATATCCATAACACGAACTTAAAAATTATTCACTATAATATGTTTTTTCATCTTGAAATTCTGATTTTTAGAAAAATTATCTTATTCGCACATCAATATAATATACTGACGTTACTTTATTAAAGTAGCCGTATTTAAAGAAAGAAATTCTTTTACTTTTTCAATTCTTCGCTCTCGATTACGTTGTATTTTATAAATATCTCTGATGATAATATGCAAAATTATGTAAACGTATTTAGATAAAAAATTTTATGCATTTATTTACAAATACGTTAAAAACAATATCGCATTTTTATAAACAATGATATAAAATCAAAAAGTTATTGTTAATAAACTATTATTAAAAGCTCAATTAAAATTGATTTTTTCATGAGGAGGTGCAATTCTAAACGTGATATTTTAAGCAGATATGTATATTATACAAATATTCTACTTATAATCATAAAAGACGTTGATTTCACATTGATGTATTAAGAGTTGATATTTTTCATTTGTAGATCAGTCTATGAATTTTTGCAAGGATTCATTTTAATTTTTCTATTATACTAACAATTTTGATAAATGTTTAGGATCAATTAACATTTTATATTCGATTTTATTAGAAATATAATTCCCTACTTGCAAATATCTAAAAATAAATTATATATGACTACTAAAATGCATTTCTAAGAACTTTATACAATTTTTCTCATATAAGATTGATGTGTGAATTCTTTTACTCATCAACCAAGCTATTTAACATAATCTTTCATAACATCCGCAGAATCCCACGCCTAATTAGTAAATTATGTATTGCAGGTCGAAGTGCGAATGGTCTCTTCGGCAGCGAAAGTGAAATTGACTTGAGCTCTGGAGATAACTCTGCTGCCTATCAAGCTAACGGCTACCTGCCTCCTATCAATGACTCTCCTTCGAATCAAATAGCCTCTTTCTCCGGACTACCTAAAGAGCCTGAAGGTATGTAAATCACATATATTTTTTCACCGACCTCTGATTTTTTTCCAACGGCCTTTTCATTGGATTTGTAAAAGCTTACATAGATTTTAAATACGCATCTTACGTTTCAGGTATTATTTATGAAAGTGGAGAAATTTTATTTTGCATTTGAAATTTTATAAAAATTATAATCCCGTATTCCGGAATCATTAATCACACTTGCTTCTTCCTTCTTAAATAGATGAAGTTGTATAATTGGTTATGAAGATTTCAAAAAATGTAATAATTCTTGTTAGAATTATTTATTTGCCAATTTCTTAATCAAAATTTGTCAACAAGTAACCGATTGACTTATTCCGCTTAACTCAAATGATTTCTAGTATGAAATCATAACGACACTTTCATCAGAAATTAATACGTTTCAAACTTTTTTACAATTAATAAGATATGTTTAGATTCATTTAACGTTTTTTACTTTTCATTACATTTACACTTATGAATCATCTTTAAATTTTATTTATCACGTAATTGATTTTCTTTATAAAATTATTAATCTAACATTCAACTAACAAATTTTTGTCTATTTTAATAAATTGTTTCTTCTTCAAATTCAATCAAATGACAGATTACTATAGAATAATTTGTAAAAATAAATAAAATTTTAATTAATCTGTCTTATCATAAATAGGTTTAATTGACGAATAACATTTAACTTTATTTCAATATTACAAAAATATTTTATAAAAGGGTATTGCGAACTCGTCATTCATTTAAATAGAAATTTTTTTAGGCATCATAATTTTTTATTTATTCTAATGAAAAGGTATTAATATCAAGATATTTACTTTTACTGCAAGGTATTACTTAATCTAGAACAAATGTTTGCTAAAAAATTGTATTAAACCGCGAAATCTAATTGCCTACTTGAATAAGTACAATGAATATCGATTCATTTTTCATACTGCCAATCCGTAAAAACAAGAAAAAATGTCTTAATGGAGACAATCAAAATAAAAAAAAATGTCTTTTAGATCACATAGTAACTATAATTAGTCTGTGGCAAGCAACACATCTCAACAGAGCATTATATGAAGATCTTGAGAAACCTACGTAATATCTAACATCATTTGGAAATGTAATCGTAGATTAGATGTTATAGAAAGGACACGTGTAACACTATATTTTTTGGTAATATATAAGATTGTCCATTACGTCCATCGTAAACAGATTCACGAAAGTGGGAAAATGTCGAAAGACCTCGAAGAAAGTGGCAAACAGATAACGCGGCAGGTAGTGCGATCATTAATTGAGGTCCGCGCCCGCTTTGTGTGTTACGTGTGTACATATAAAAGACACTGTCCTCGCTTGGAGAAATTCAGTCTTACTTAAGCGTTCGGATACAGACAATCGCGAGTGCCGGATACTCCGCAGAATCGAGAAGTTTTTTCTTCAAATTTGTTCACATATTCTCTTTTTTTTCATTTACAAAGTGTTAGAACCATGGCTCATTTCAAGTGTTCAGTGGTTCTAGTTTTATTAATGCTCTCTCATAGCACATTCGCTCTAGGTAATAAGTACAACAGTGATTTTTATTATTTTTTAGTAAAGTGTATTAAATCATGTAAATAATAAGAATATTATTTTGCATATTACATAAAGTGGTGTGGTAATTTCAAGTGATCTCATCTAACCAATTTGTGGTTTGAAATACGGCTTTCTTTTTAATTTGTAAAATAACGGTTTGATTCGAAATGTTATTAAAAAGTATTAAGAATCTATAAAAGACATTTTACACTTAAATAAAAAAATATACATTCCTTTTCACTTCAAAACTTTTACGAATGTACGCAACGTGAAGAGTACACACACTAGAGAACGCGTACTTTAGTTATTTTGCTCTGTAGTAAGAATTTGTCTGCATGAACAATTCTCGTGGAAGTATCTACAGTAAAAGCTACTTTGAGAATATTACAACTCCTGATTTTATCTCATTATTTCTGTCACTCATGAAACCACCGACCCAATTGTCTCAAGTTCATATGGGGAAACTTATCTTACAGATAACTCCGGTCATGACGATTCGCCAACGAACGTCCAACAAAATGTGGCTTTCCCACCTGCTTTCCAACCACAAATTGGATGTGCTGCCGCCCTCCTTTGCGTTGAAGAGCAGTTCTGCACTTCGACCGGTGTCATCAGCAAGACGTCTATTCAACTTACCGAAGAACAGAAATTGAGACGTGTACCCATGGTGGTAGGTGTCGTTGATATTTAATAAAAAAAACTATGATTATTAATATAACTTGTGCATGAATTATCTTTAATAATAAATAGTAGTATTTCGGGCAACGTTTCGACGAAAATGAATTTGTTTACAAATTACTCATGTAAATTTTTTTTTCGTAACGCAGGACTGTAAAAATCCAGATAATGGAGTCATTGGCAAGTGTTGCCGTGATCCTGACTACGTCGACCCATGGCCAGCAGGCAACTTGTCTCCCGAGCAGCTTAAACAAGGCTTCGATGAGCAGGGTTTTCCTAAATTCTTGAACCTCACCAAAAACAAGCCACAGAGACCTTTTAAACCACTCCCAGTGCTAAAGCCGACCAGTCAATTCAATGAAGTTGTCAGGCCTCAAGCACCTATCAAAGTATCTCAACAACCACAGAACTTTCGTCCATTAACTCCAATACTGTCACCTCCGACTAGTTTCCAAGCAAACAAGATCGTTCCTGAAAACAAACCATTCCAATCTCAGCCAACATTTGGCCAAGCTCAACTGCCTACATTCCAACAGAAACCAGTCGAGTCAAAAAATCCATTTTTGCAGCCATCCCAACCTTTCCAACCTCAACAGACCTTCCAACCACAACAGTCGCAGACATTTCGACCTCAACATCCAATTGAATCAGCTGAATTCCCTCAGCAAGCTAAACAGCCCGAGATAATAGTAGTACCAGATCATTTTCAGTCTTTCGTGTCAGAGCAACCTCAGATTTTCAAGCCAAAGCAATCACAAGATATCGTGCCACAAAAAACATACGTTACTGTGCAAAAGCAATCCCAGGCTTTCATCCCTCATCGACCCCAAGCGTTTGTGCCACAACAACCCTCTGATTTCCAAGTGAAAAAACCAAAACAGCCTAGTTTCACCATTACGGTGACTGAGCAGCCCCAAATTTCTCACCAATCTAACCAACCATCATTTATTCAACCAGAACAACCATTATCCGTTCAACCAGAACAACCATCGTACGTTCAACCTGAACAACCATCATATGCTCAACCTGAACAACCATCAAATGTTCAACCAGAACAACCATCATACGTTCAACCTGAACAACCATCATACGTTCAGCGCGAACAACAAGAACACATTCAGCCCGAACAACAATCATACGTTCAGCCCGAACAACCATCATACATTCAACCGGAACAATATTCACACGCTCAACCTGAAGAACCATTATACGTTCAGCCCGAAAAATCAACACACGTTAAGCCTGAACAGCCATCATACGTTCAGCCCGAACAACCATCGTTTGTTCAGCCAGAACAACCGTCGTACGTTCAGCCAGAACAACCATCTTATGTCCAGTCTGAACAACCATCATACAATCAGCAAAAACAACCTGTTCAACGCCCACAGTACGATCATTTTTCAACACATAACCAGATCAACGGACAACCGAAAGGTCCTTTAGAGTCAATTCAACAAGGCCTGCAGAATTTCCAACAATCATTCGCCAACCAAATCAATAACTTTGGCTTTGGAAAACCCCAGCAATCTGATGTGCAAGTTATTGATGCACCAACAATTGAAAATGTACCTGAGCCTATTACCACTAAAAAACCTTTCTTTAGCTTGCCAAGCTTCTCTGGATTTGGACAGAAAACTGTTGAGAATCAAATTCCAGTTCTTTCAACAGTATCCATCGCTCCACACACTCCTGGCGCTCAGTGCGGAATCATCAATCAGGTACATTTTATCGAATAAATCACAAAATATCTTAGCGAAAATTTCGAAAGAAACGAATTCTATATTTTTTATACAATAATTAATGATTACGAAAGTATCACACCGCTAACACGTTATATGATCTCCTATATATGTTCGCATAGAAAATAGTGAAGCATAAGATGTATCGTGCGTATATATAAATGATCGCGATTGCTACATCTGCGATAGCCCAAAAATCAAATTTTATTCTTACGTAATTCGTTTGAAAGAATTAATCGATGATCCATCGAGTGCTTTCGATAGACTTTCTTTTTTCTTTTATGTCATCTTCCGTCGCTTATACGTCATAAATGTGTTGCCAGGTTCAGCATAATTATGCCGAAGGTTTGAATGACGTTCAAACTCCTTTTGGTGAAATACCATGGCAAGCAATGATTCTTCACAATGTTGAGAAGAAACTGCTCTGCTCTGGTGCCATCATCGCACCGAATGTAGTCATGACTGCTGCTCACTGTGTTTATGGGTAATTATTTATTTTAAGTTAATTGCTATTATTTTTGTCAATTATCAAAATAAAACTCACGTAATTATTTATTTTTATTTTAGAATGAACCCAAGTGAAATAGCGATCAAAGTTGGCGAATGGAAACTCGGCTATGAGCTGAAACACGAAGAACCCTTACCCTTCGAAATTGTCCAAGTGCAGACCATTGAAGCTCATCCTGGCTACCAACCAGGTGGACCAGGCTATGACCTCGCAATGCTCTTCTTAGAGAAACCAGTCCAACTCGATCAACACGTTGACACAATCTGCCTGAGCCAACAGCCATCTGTCCTTGAGAGAAAGTGCATCTCCGTAGGATGGGGAAAAACCGTCTTGCAACGTATGAATCATTTATATTCTGACTCTTTTTTTACATCACACGCTACTTGTTGCAACACACACGAAACCACTCCGTTACGCAAGTGTCGAAATTTCTTTCCTCGACGCATGCGATTAATATATTAAAAAACAACGATCTTTCCACAGTCCACGCCGCTGGAGCTCTCATGAACAAAATCGAAGTTGACGCTTTGAGCCAAGACCAATGCAGATTACGCCTTCAGGGTGCTGAAACGCCACTCGACCTCGACAACAGTCTTGTCTGTGTGAAGGCACACAAACAGAACAACAACATGTGTCAAGTTGACGTGGGCGGTCCTCTCGCTTGCGACCGTGGCGATGGACACTACGAGCTCGTTGGTGTCTACAGTCAAGATACTGGCTGTCTTCCCACCAATCAGGTGAGAGTGCACTTTCTCTCTGTTTCTTTGTCTTTATCTTACATACGTGGATGCGTCTCGCAGTCAAAAGTGATTTATCAAGCTAGGAATATGCTATATCGGTTCGTTAATTCTTATTCTCAGTAAATCGTAAAATTCACTTTGTCGCGTTAGAGCATGTCAGTCACAACACGTTACATTGCCTATTAGCAATGCTAATAGCGTCGTTAGATCAGTTGCACAATATTGGTCGCTTGTAACGTCTCTCTCTCTCTCTCTCTCTCTCTCTCTCTCTCTCTCTCTCTCTCTCTCTCTCTCTCTCTCTCTCTCTCTCTCTCTCTCTCTCTCTCTCTCTCTCTCTCTCTCTCTCTCTCTCTCTCTCTCTCTCTTATTTTATCAGAAATTATTCGAATTTTTAACTGATTTTTCAATGCCTTGAGCTTCATTTTAATTCCACAGATCTATAAATGTTAGTATTTTGGTTTTAGTAACTCCCGCGCTTGTACGTTATTTTTAAACTATTTTTTATAACCGAAATCGATTATTAGATTCGACAACTTCTTCTTATAACGTGTATTAAGCAAAAATAATAATGGTCTTACTTTTAAGTTAATGAATGACCAATACCATGCAATCGGACTATCCATATAAAATTTTGCATCGTCTCCTAAATAACACATATTGATGTGTGTGTCTTGTTCCCTCAGGTCGCAACCTTCGCTTTGATCGACTACAAGTGGGTCAATGGTTTGCTGAACCCATCTCCAAGCATAACACTTCAACAGCCTCAAGCATACAACAGTTACGAAGGACCTCAATCTGTACAGAACAATATCCACTATCACCCACAAGAACCTAATGTGCCATGCGATTGCCAACATGGAACTCAGCCCGCTGGCGCTAACGCGTATCTACCTCCATATTAAGATGCTTGAATCTTATCATACGTCAAGCAACGACTGAACGAACAACTATACGACGCTGCTCTCTTATAGGATAAGAGATTATTTTTTGTTCTTTTTTTATCTTATTGTAAATGTAATGCTATAGCGTAGACGATTTTAACTGCTATTTCGAAACGTTCGCTTATTCCAATGCTCGTTAGATGTTTTTTTATTTTTTTTTTTATTTCTTTTGCTAATAAATCCATCATTTATGAGATCGTGAGACTACAAGGATTGAAATCTATGCGTGGTTCAGTAATTATTTTGGAATTGCAGAAGTTAAATTAGAATGATTGCATTTCTAATTTTTGAGATGATAGATAACCCGATGTATAATAGAATTTTTTTTAAATATCAAATTTGATCAAGATATGTTTGTTAATACGTATGTCAAAATGAAAAATTGAACAATTAAGTACAATCACTCAATGAATCAATCTAATAAGCACTGACAATAATGATAAATTTGGCTGTATCGGTACAAATTTTTTACATTTGGAAAGAAATAAGAAAACGAGTTAAGAATAAACGAATATGCGAAAATGTCAGGATAAGCGGCTTTTCAAAATTATTTTTTATCTAGAGTAATGTGAGATCATATGAAAATTGGCCGTTTGTCTTCACACTTGTAAAAAACAAACATTTAAGTATTCAGTATGATTGTAATAAGCTAAATACGTTTAAGCTTAGTTTAATCTAAATCCCCTGTATTGTAATTTTAGTTTATTTGTAATTTTAAGTCTTTAACTTTGCATTTTTTGTATTACAATGAAATGTATTGTACAATACACGAATGTATTGCATCTACGATAAATATAAATTAAGTAACTGTGATACAAAAATAAAAACACTGCATTATTATTTTTATATTCCTCTATTATCGCTATTCATTAAGTACACTTTTATAATATTTTTGAGTAGATGGTTTGTCCAATGTGGTTCAGAGAAACTATCAAAAATTATAATATTCTATATGAAATGAACTATGTCATTTTTGCAACTCTCATCAAATTAATAGAAAATCTTATAAATATCTAATTGCATTTCAGAAAAGGTTGAATCAAAAGGTATTAAAATAAGTTACATTTTATAACATATGTTAAGGAAACCTTTTGTTTTTATTTAAGAATCTATAAATGACACTAGAATTAAAAAAATTTATATATGATGTATTATAACTTAGATTCTTTACAATACTGTACAGAATACGAAAATTATACCTGTGAATACGTAGCTAAGCCTTTATATGGGGTTACGGATATCAATAATGCTATGGGCACCGAAAATTCAGAAAATACTTTTACTTTACATATAAATAAAATAAAGTTATATGCTGGCAGACTACATTAAAAAAAATATTGAATAAAGAAAGAGTATATTTAGATAACTATAATAAATAGCATTTAGTCATTTTTTATCATACAAAACTAATTTTTTTTTCATTCGATGTCTTTCAATGGTGTGAAAGCATATACACGTGCAAAGTTGCAATTAGTTTTACAAGTCAACTTATAACGTAAATATTTTGTGAATTTGAAATGAAAAAATTAACCCTGTTGAGTTCTTCATTTGTTGTTCATCTTTTATGATTCAACGTTTTATTTTCATCTAAATAGTTAACAAAATTTGTATAAAGTAATTTTTATAAAAATCGAATACTGCTAAATCTACAGGGAAAATATTAAAAATTATTTTTATTCTATCTTATTATTACTAGTTATGAGTAAGTAAATAAGTTATGAGTTTTCGTAAAAATTAATCGCTATCTGATTCTGTATAGATTATTTATATATAATATTAGTATCCTAAACCTATTACCAAATATCTATCAGGAAATCGATAAATTCCTACCTTCTGCTATTTAAATTTTATTAAAAACTATTCGTGAAATCAGTCAATAAACTAAAAAATTTTTCTTATATGTTTTGCTTTAGCTGAATAATTTTTAAAATTTTCAAAATAAAAGAATTTCGATAGGAAATATATTTTTCAATATTTAAAAATTCTGTATTAAACATACACTGTTAGTTTTTTTTTCAAAAGTATAAAAATTTGTTATGGGAAATTCTTTTCTGCAAAGGGAAGCTTTGTAACAGTTACATTTCGAGAAATATACAATAAGAACTTACTATAAACGAGATTTATAAATAATAATAAATTGATGGTTGCTGTTAATATAGAATCCTACTATACCAAATCAAGTGAACTGATCGTTATACTTTCAGCCGGTAACAGGTTTAAATAGTATTATGTGGCATATACATAGAATTTCATATTTCCAATGCGGATTATAGCCATAATTTGATAAAACCGTACATATTTGATAATTTGAATTTCGCAAGTCGAGTGAGTCCGTAATTGTGAAATGGAAAATACTATTTATTTAAATAATTCCAATTTGTTTTTTAATATATTCCCCGTTTAACTCTATACATTTATTACATAGTAGCGCTTAAGCTTTTTTATGCTCTCTGCGTAAAATAATTTTTTTGACTCTTCAAAATACTTATTTATTGGAGTTCTTACCTCTTCGCCCTTAAAAATCTTTTACCCGAAAGCAAAGTTTTTATATTAGGAAACAAAATATAATTCGAAGAAAGTCAATCTAGCAAATAAAGTTGATATATGGAAGTATTTCTTAGTGTAAATTAAATAGTTTGGCGTTTGCAATGGAACTCGTGCAAGCCGGTGTATTGTCACAGTGGAAAAGAATTTCTTTTCCACTAGATCGGCCGGCTTTTCCTTGAGTATGGCATTAAATCAATCCAATAATGAGGCATAATATTCTTCTGTGATAGTTTTTCTAATCTGTAGACAATCGATTGATATTATACCAGTTGAGTTCCAAAAAATTATGGCAATAACTTTTCCTTATCTCACCGTCTTCGCTTTTTTCTTCGCAGATTCGTCAGGCTCAGTTCAGATTTTCTAGTGATTTTTCGTTTCTGGTTAATAATAATAAATTCATATTTCATCGACATTAACTTAAAGTCGCAAAAACTCTTTTGGATTACATTTAAAACATATGCTAAAAGAGTGATCACACGCAGCCAAACGAGCTCGCTTGTATCAACTGTGAGCAAGCGCGGCATCCATTTAGCAGATAGCTTCCTCATACTCAAACATCATTCATATAAAATATTTCATGTGCATCTTACTGAAATGTTTTATAATTAGCCTCATTAATTTCACGTACTTTTAATCGACGATCAGCGAATACAGTATAATGAACTTTATCGATAATATCTTAAGTAATTATCTCTTTTGGACGAACAGAACGCTCAAGATCATTTACGTTTATATGGCCTTAATAAAACTCCACTTTTAAACCATACCATGCGATGGAGCTTTTCTTCAGTTTCTATGATTTTCTTTGTAAAAAATAATGTTTAATAAGCACACGAAATTCGCTTTTTTCCATGATTTTGTATACACAATGAAAATCTTAATTCAAATAGTTATAAAAAATTTCTAAACCAACATACTGACTTAAGACTTTGTACATGCACTCATATTATATGGGACTCTCTTAGAGTTTAAAATACATTACGATAATGACATTATCTTCTAAGAAGTTACCGACTTAAACATTCCTCGTAATATTTAAAAACTAATGGCACGATTTCCTGCAGTATTATTTTCAAACTATTCTATACTTTCACTTTTTATTATAAGTGCACATGTGCTCGTTTTATTCCATTCACATTGTCCATCTCGTACTTATTAAAAATAATAAGGTTACAAAAACTGACAAACTTTGGGTAATCATTATATTCATCAAATAGAGATTCCATTCAGAACAATATTTTATTCAAAACAATCATCTTTTTTCATAAAAATACATAATATTGAAAAATAAAATTAATGACTACATAAAATCGATCGCATTATTAAATTTTATATTGAGATACCCGTTAAATATTCGCATTGTAAAACTAAATGTAAAACTTGAATAAAAAAATTTTTTTTTACACCACAACTTATTTTATAAAAAAATGCTTGTTAATTACACGGTAATGAAATCGATTTTACATTTTTATTATCGTACAAACTTTTAACACTGGGTAAAAGGTGAAGAAATTGTATCTAAATAAGTGATAAATACCACTCAATACCGCAGCTAAGATGGCACTCGTGGCAGCGCAAGAAAATCCCTTTTACTTTTATTGTTCTTTTTTATTTCCACAGCCATAGCACGTGTTTTCAGCAATATTTTTATCTTTATAACTGCAATAGATCATATTTTCAAGGGCATTTATAATTCACCTTATATTCTAAAATAATATATATTTATAATATTGACTTTTGATCCAAAGAATGTGTCTAATTTTGTTTTAAAAGTGTGGTTTTTCAGACACTATTCGCATATTATTAATTTGTCGAAGAATTATGTACTATAATTATTCTTGATTAGTTTGAAAATATTTACATATTTTATATTCATTTCAGAAACGCGAAACAGAATTTTTTTTTATCTGTATACTATGTTACTCAACTCATTACAAATAACTATTTATTGATATATTTACAAGTTACAAAAAAACTATTTTGTTTCGCATTTCAAAAATGAAGAGAATTAAAGTGACTTTGACTCACAACTATCTTTATATGTCTATAAAGTATTTAGCAGGAATGAATATTGTTTCCTACGATTTTTTATTCCATGACATAGTTCAAATAAATCATTTTATAATTAAGCATATTGTTGTAATCATTGTAAAAATAGACCAAATTCTTATCGAGAAAATTTCGTTATATATTAACATTGGTAATGTTTTTACATTTTGTTTTTTCACTGTTTTTCAAATATTTTATAGAACTAGTATTCTGCATCAAATTTATTTCAAAAACCCTTGACGAAACTTCCAAATCCAAACTTCTAAAATAAAAACTCAATTTGAAGGTACTAAGAGTTATGAAGATTATTATTTCAACTTCTTTAGACTGAGGCTGAACAGTCAACTCGTAATATTATAATAGATTGCAAACACTTTGTAATATTAAATTTTTATTTAATGCTGCGCAAATCTAGTATTTTCTTTGAAATTCTTGTGTGCATGATTGATTGTAATGTTATTGTTCTTGTCACAAATAAATCTTAATTTGAAATTCTTATTAACGCACTGCAAATATTGATACGGAAAAATATTTAGAAATTTTCTCACTTTCTCAAATGTCACAACATGATATTTTTTTCTAGAAGTAAAAAAAAATATGCAAAATTATAGTCATTAAAAAGGTATTTCTTAAGATAAACTATGAATGTAAACGACCGATAACATGGAAAAATATGATATCTCCAAATCAATTTTCTAGGCTAATCATACTAAAATAATATATTATTTTAGTGTTATATACATCATCAATAAAATTGAAAAATAAGTGGCCTTTGGGAACAATTAATTTGGAAAAGAATACTCATAAAAAAATCATGACACAACGAACCACCGGTTAATTCGTGAAATATTTGATCACCTTTAAAAGCAACATACATATGACTCGGTAACTAAGAAAACTAGATAGAAAGATATTTTCTTACTTCTTGGTAGGAATTGATATTTCAACATTAATAAAGCAAAACTTTAAGCTCCAATCGACCCTAAGAAAAAAGGCATACGAATCTAAACAAGAAGTCTGTTTACCATAATCAAAATAAGTTGTATAAAAAGACAACTAACTAAAGTATAATTTCGTAACTCTATAACCCATAGCAAAAAGTCCATTCACTCCCTTAAATTCTCGCAAACTCTAACAAATATCAAACGCAGAGGTATAAAAATAACATTACTAAATAATAATATTAAAAAGGTAATAATGACAATGATAATAAAATTAATAATATCTACAGCTAACAAGGTCGATATTACATCGAACAAAATAATAACAGATAATATTTTGACGATTTTATTGTCACTTTTTTAATAAGCAAAGGCGGGCTCACCGCTCATGAAAGCCTTCATCGCGCTTTTCTTCTCTTCTTCATCAGACTTGTCATCCGTTTGCAATAAAACATACGAATCCCTGGCCATCATAAGTTTATGCTGGCCATTGACAATGAACGAAGAGCCACGACGTATCGTACGCTTACCAAGCTCGATGGCTTCGTGCGCGAGCACAGCGTTACTGTAGGTGCGATAAGTAACCCACAAGAGGCTAGCCAAGCCGACTAGAATAAGACCATAAGTAGTTAGAGGTACGGCAATGTCGGCGAACGTTGTCGCCAGGTAGACCCAACGTTGAATCGATGGTGTTAATTCGTCGACGCCTTCCTCCAGCCACATTATTGGAAATACGATGTCCGTAAAATTCGACACCGCTGTTATTTGGGGCTGGTGCTCAACTTTCAAGTTTAACTGTACACGCACTTTGCCCTCGACTGGAACACCCAATTTCTGCAAAATGCACCTATTCTTAAAACCACTTTATTCCAAAATATATTACACATTTGATAAACGTATTTTCAGAACCAAATCATTCAAGCCTGTCAATAAAACTAAGACAATATCAAAGTGAAAATTAACTTACCGGTTGTATTTTGAAAAAGGTTTCATGCAACTCTGGCATTGGGTTAAGACCATCAACTGCATCTAAGAGCTTTGGATCAGCTTTATAAAAGTGAGGGAAAGATAGGTATACTGGAGCACCTATAACAAAAATTTTTTTAATTAAGAAATACTCTAAATTATATATTTTCAAAATGAATAGTTAAAGAGTATTTCGATGTAAGATGTAACGATATTAACCGGCGATAATAAATTGATCAAGCATTGAGTTCCTTATAAAAATAACAAATATTTCTTATACGTCAGTGGAATGTTTTGGTCACGCCTAGCTGAAAATCTTCCATCGAGGTGCCTTGTCATACAATGAATTATAAAACTAAACCGCAGTGTCTCTTAACAAATGAAAAAAAATTCGGCATGATTCATTATCACAATATTCCATTGAAACTTTACGCACGAGCGTAAAGTTAAAAAAAAAATATGAAGGAGGATCAATTTTTTCACAACTGAATAATTCAACATTAGTGTTTATTTTAAGTCTTATGTGCTTTTAAAATCCGATACTTACTGTACTGGCAGGGGCTAATATTTTGGAGACCCCGTGGTGGACAGCTCTTCGGATTATCGGGGCAGAAACATTCATTATCAGGCGTCTCATCACTCGGCGGGTCAAACACCGTATCTGTAGGTGTGTATAGATCGGCCTTGACGCCTGATTTAGACGTTGGTCCACGATATTTTAGAGGTAGTATTCGACATAGGTCCTTATCATAAACTGTTACTATGTCTTCACCCGTCTGATCTCGTGGAGGGAAAAATGAACCTGTTGATGGAAAGTTTAATTTTTAATATGCAATTTTTTTTTATCTCCAATGTTTTTGAAATTGCAGCATCCTTAAGCACCAAAAAACTAACTAAATCTTTATATTTCGCCACAATATAAAGAAAGTCAACATTATTTTTCATATATCGTTTACAAAAAATAAGTAGGTTCAGTCTACTGATCATTCGCTCGTAGACTGACGAAAAATTTAAAGTTTACGGAAGTAGATAATAAGTAGTTTCACTCTGTAGCATAGTACGTACTTTAACAACTTATGTTTTCGTTTATACACTGAATAAAGAACAAAATAATAACCTGAAAAAAAATTTAAGCTCTTACCTTCGGAGGCACGTATGGAATTACACGGCGCGTCCGGCCAATATGGTAATCGATCGAGTCCATTTAGTCTATTGATTAAACCAAATTCTCGCATGTCCGTGTGACCGGTGAATATCGTTGATACTTCGTCGAGTGTACCATTTCGCTGCAAAAAGAAGAAAAAAAATCGTTATGCAAGTCAAGATAATAAATTGATTTCAAAAGATTATATTGTCATACTCACACCAAGTAATAAACCCATTTGACTCATAGGCCGTCGACCTTTAGGGAAGAATTGATGCGCTATACTGACTAGAGGATCGTCGTAGCCAAAAACAAGCTCCTGAGCTGTGATTGGCACGAACGGTTTCAAATCCATCCCAGCGATATACATTGAAATGCCCATATTCAGTACGTATGGTAGACTTTTACTTTGCGTCGACAGCGTCTGCAAATGTTGTATTTTTCATACTAAACATAGCGAGCAATTGAATTTTTTTTTCTTTTGTTGCGCGAGCGCTTTCGTTTGGGATTTCGTAAATGTATAATTGCTTGCACGAAAAACGCGTATATCTGCGGTGTCTACGTGACGCAAGGCATTCTGCAACTATTCTAATGTCAGATATAAATTACAATGTTAGGCCTTCGGTCAGACACTGACTTTCACACGTTCAAATTTAGCCTTACGAGAAAAACATACTTTATTTTGGGTGGTCAGTTTATTGATTTTAAATGGCAGTTTTAAGATAACTAATTCATAGAACATATCATATTTAGAAGCTCATGGTCTTTCTAAATATTAAATTAATTAATAAAAGTAATTAATAAAAATTTTCAGCTATCTTACTAGAAGTGGAATGTTTGGAACAAGGACTCGAAGATCCCCATCCTTGGACATCTCCGGAACAAAATTGAGAATTTTTTTATGTTGATAAGTCACCGTTCCATTATCATGAAAAACGATGTTTACTTTTTCCATATCCTCCCTGTTGGCATATAATAGAACGATAAAATAAAATTATGTGCTTATACACTAAAAAACATAATAAAATTCCAAATACGAAAAATGTATAATAGTGATGATTGGTTTACGATCAGTTGTGCTAACATTTTTTTATAGACATATGGAAATGAACCTATAGTTTATTACTGGTTCCACAAATAAATATTTTGATTTGAAACACGATTTTATTAACTCATTGCGGAATTATCTAATGCTGGGGGGTATTATTATATTTACAATAACATACATCATAAATACATTGTTATTGAGCAATTTTTTATTTTGATACAATTAACACAACATGCCATCAAACGGTAATTTTTCATAGCATTTTCCTAATCTAGCTAATTAAAAAAAAAGTAAAATAGAAATCACCGTAGCATAAAATCCAAGACACATAGATCACGCACCAGTCGTTCCTCACATGACTGCATCTCCCGCAACAATGTAGCATTGATTTAGACGTGCAAAAAATCATTGCAGCCCCTCTTCAGTTATCTTTTCGTGATCAAATGTGTTCTATACAAAGTGTGTACTTTCACTTTTTATGAAAAAGTCACCGGACAATTTTTCGCGTGTCGACCCTGCATCTATTACTATAATATTTATGCGCTTGGATACAGAGAGACTTTAACGTTACGTAAAGGACGTCCTAGGCTGCGCAAGATTATGCCATATTCGCCATTATGAAAGTCGCGCTTTTCTTTACCGAAGAATCCCTAATATTTCGAAAGTTAAGATAGATGTAGCTGTTCTCATCGATTATTTTAATTTTTAACAATCAAAAATACGGCTCAACAAGTTACGACACAACTTTTGAATAAGTAAAAATCAATATGAAATTTATTAATTTTTGTAATAAAGTAAAGTAAAAGTAACTAATTGTGTTTCATATATGTTGTAAAGATTAATTCGATAATTCGATTTCTCTCTTTTTAATAAAATATCGAATATTTTTAAAAAATGGTCACCGCTGAATTAAATATGAGCTATACCACGCACACGCACCACATAAATGAGGTCGATGAGATACCAATCGATATAAAGATTCAGATTGAGCATAAATCATCGAAAAAAGATATAATTTTATGGTTTTGACTAAATTTCCATTGGAGGGAAAATATTGTCTCCGATACGTCGAAAAAAGAAATGCAAGTCAGCTCGTCTGTAGCGTACCCAGAGCGGCGTAACCGTTCCTTTCTAGAAATTTCAAGTGATGATGCATATGCATGTGTGTCTATGTGTGCAATGACTAGTTAGTCAGTTGTCAGCTATTTTAAAAATTACCGAGTGAATTCTCCGGGCCGTATGTTTAAAGGCTTTTAAAATGCTTTGTTTACTTTTTTTTAATCCCGGAAAAAAATTGTGTTCGTGACATCGTCTAGTTATCGAATATTATTTTAAAATGAAATAAATGATCAAACCTTCTTAAACTCTATAAATAATTTCTCATTTGATTATAATAAGATAGTATACGTTCAGGGTTAGATTGATACAGAAGTGTCAAAATATCAGCAGTGTCACATGCTATAGAATCGTCCTCTACCCGTAGCAAATCCGAAGTTCAATGTCGCACCCTCAGTCAAAAAACACGAGTCATTGTCCATGTTCGACGTAATATCGCAAACGTAATACAACGCTAGTGTAGCTTCCGCGGAAAGCGAAAGTGATTAGCAGATATCATTGCGCGGGGCGAACATACGATATGCTGAGTGCATAAGGTTGCGAGAGGCTGTTGCACTACAAGACTTTTTTGGCATTTCATGAGAAAAATAGAATTCATGGCCAATGAATTGAAATGTATACGTGTATGTATGTAGCTTTGTCGCAATTTCTTATTAAATTTGAAACATCGTCCTTATATTTATTTTGCGAGAGATTGGCAGTAAACAAATCGCGAAAATTCGTTGGTGAAAATTTACGTTACTATAATTAAATAGAAGTTAAAAGGTATTAATGATCGAGGTGATTTTATTTGAATTCAACTATTGCTGGCGCATAAATTTCTCAAAGATTACGTACTGTTTTCCTTTTTCCCTTTTTATTTAACGCTAAAAATTAAAGATTACAATTCTTAAACTTAAGATACTCGCATAATGATTTAGAATACTCACGTGCGTAACATATGAATATCATAGTTTGGTTGATATTCATCGATAGTGAGAAAGAATAACACACGAAAGAAAGTGAGAACGCACACACGAGAGTCGCGAGTTGTACTCACGTGCACAATGTGTACACATACTTACGCTCACACACAGAATAGAGACAAGTAGAGTGAACTCTTGAGGTAAAGAAGTTTTAGAGAGATAAACACGTCGCGTCGATTGTGTAATTGCTCAGCGAGACGGCTTTAGCAGTATAATTGAAGACGACGGATTTATCGATGCAGGACTGTTGGGGAAGAGAAAAACGAGAAGAATAAGAAGCAAGATAATTGAGGAAAATGCGCGAGTAACTGTCGTTCACACCTTTGTCTTGTCTCTCACAGTTATTCAATGTAGACGCGAAATTATATGTGAGATGAATTTTAAAGTGATCATTTTCAAAAAATTGTTTAAAACGTCACGTTGCGCTTGAATAATTTTAATGATCAAAGCCGGTAGTTCTTGAAATAGAAAGATCATTCAGTTAAGTACGTATATAATTGAAGATTATGCTTACCGCACATAATAATGAATTGTACTTTAAGTTTGAATGATCAAAAATCGTTACAATGTTAAAAAAGTAAAAATAATTATTGCAATTTTATAGAAAAATAAGATTCAAAAGTGGTCAAGGCGCAAGTCAATAACCTAGCACTTTGGAGATAGTTCGTTTCAATCTTCCAAAAATTGATTTTTCCAACGTAATTTACATGTGTGAATCCAATTAACTTAATGTATCATTCAACTAATCAGAAAAGTAAATAACACTTTCAAAGGCGACTATTAAATTTGAATATGTCACATATTTTACAGAAATGTGAATTTAAAGAAAAATCTAATAAAAAAAATACAACACCTCAAATGATAAAAATCAAATTATTCACCGTAGCGAAGGGTAAATCGTGAAATTCGACTAAGAGTATTTCCATTAAGTGCACAAACAATTTTTTCTAAATGTCGCAAAATATAAATTAAAAAATTCAACTAAAGTAATATCTCTGTCTGACAATGACTTTTTATAGAATCGTAAAATAACTCAACAAACGTATCGCTAAAACACAAGTGTATAATCGTGAAGTTGAAAGCTCGCCGATGTAAATTTACTTCGTCAATTAATTGTTGATCGCAAAACAAAAAATAACACGTCAGTAGTCGGCCTTGATGTAACCCCCAAGTTTTTTTTGATCCCACGAACTTTCCTCGGTTACCTTGCGATGTGAACGTAGTTAATAATTGAAAGACAATAAGGTTAACGTCCGATCCTTTCTTTCAAGACATACACTTCCTTGTTATAGCTATATACACCTGCCCGCCAAAGAATTTTGTTGGTTGTTCGCAAGGTTAAGGGGATTTACCTATCAAGGATAAGAATTTTTCCATCATAAGGTTGCGGCTTCAATTTTTCACCTTTTGTTTAAGAAATATAATTTATCGCTGTTTGCTGGTGATGAAAAATAGGTACAATCTTTTGACTAACAGTAGTCGATTAATTTACATCAAAAGTTGCGTGTATGCAAAATACAACTAAAGTCAGTCTTAAAAAAAATGCTATGCTTAACGTACCCACGCGAAAAAGATTAGTAAAAGTGTCACGAAATCAGCATTTAACTTTCCAGCGATTGTTATCATCCCTACAGTAGATACGTAAACATAACTCAATAAACTTGAGATTCTAACCACACGACGATTAGACTTGATAAGGATTAATCTTTATATTTATCTCTCTTGTCCCGCAGAAAGTCAAGCATTCGGATCTAATACGCGAATTACGCTTGTTACAGGCTAGAAATCTCATTACGCGGTTAGAGCTCAGCTCGACTTGCGAGAGATGAATGGACCGGACTCGTTTCCCGCTGAAGTGCGCACGCCTCGTATAGAAATCGACCTGAATCGCCAATAGGACGCGCTCGCGAGCTGTGTATCACTTCTCGTTTGCCACCAAACGGAAATATAGACAATGAAGCTCACCCAGCAAGTGTGCCATCATTCTTCTTTTCGATTTCTAGAACTAACGATTTGTTTGCCCAGCTGATGAGGACGTACGATCGGTTTGTATATTGTGTTCGCTTTCACCTTAGATGCATTGCGAATTGGACGGGGACTAATTGCCGCGCGCGGGTAGCTACAAGTTATTTGTATCTTGTTTTAAATTTACATTGCGTACGCAGGGTTAACGTGAGGATTCAATCTTGTAGTGAATTGTTTGGAATTATTTATCTATTGACAGAAGTATGTTGTACTGCTTTACGATCGTTTTGACTTTCGTAAGTAATCAGGTTTAATCTGTGTTTGTTACACATTTATGTTATAGTGGCAATTTATCCCGAAGTCACTTTTCATTTAAATGATAATGAGATTGATTTATAATTTCAACCATGTGTAATTTGCAAGAATTAATTGATGGGCACCTTTTACTGATTTATTAAGTGTACAATAGTTAATAAAAAATAGTAAATGTATCCAACGTGCTGCTCAGTAAACAATGTACGGTACTTGGTATTCGGACAAATAAAATGAAAAATAAACAAGAACTTACCTATAGACAAAAGGACCAACTTCCTGCAACTTGGGTTTCTCTTGGAAATTGAGAAAATTCTCGGTATTCGTCACGTTGAATATGTACACTTTGGTGAGACGTACGACACCCGGCTTCTGCCAATATTGAAAGCTGAGCGAGCCGTTCCACAACCTCAATTGCTGTTGTAAAATAATAAAAGCTTTAGATTTTATGGGGCCAAGCTACGTCCGAGACGATTGAATAAGTGGATGAGGTTTTCAGTAGTGCTGCTGTCAACTAATTTATAGACTGGGATAACGCGCACACTGGGTTTACTGAACTCGCGCTGAAAATCCTTATGTTCCGAATTGCGTGCAGATTCAGCGCGCGTTGGCGCCATGTAAAAGCATGCAATATTTATTACGAAGGTACCAACTTTTATTAACTTTAATTACCGAAATTTAATCTTCTACGTGAACGTGCTTTATTGTGTAAAGGTTTATTTTTAAAATATAACAGTCTATGGCGTATCCCAGTAAAAACAAAAGTTTAAATTGGAAAAGAATCGATTATACTTTGGTGGGTACATTAAAAAATTAATAACGGAAACGCACGCTCGACGATTAAGATCAAGCACTTGCCGCTACGCTTTTTTTTTGTTCACAGTAATCACGTTAGCAGGGCATTCAATTAATCCACGAAGGGAAAAAAACAAAGAAAAGAGCTGATTTACGAGCGTAAAATGATGCGTACATGCATGCGAGAGAGCTCTCAGCGTGTAATTTCTCTAGTTTTACAATAGAGCGCCCGACTTCTTTTTCTTGTTTCGCGCGCGCAAACTGCTGTAATCTCAAGTTCACGCCTCGCGTATTTTATCGGTCGGCAGCTGAGTTTTGCTCTCAATTATAATGGCTTTCGAAACGTAATTTCTATCGATAGATGGTAAAGATTAATTTAGGTGTGTGTGTGTGTGTATTATTTGTATGGAATACTTACTCTGAGAATGACATAATCAACCCATGGTATACTGCTTAGTATGATGCCTATTGTGAGGGCAAGCAGTCCAAAAAGTATTACTGCTATTCTACCTGGAATGCGAAAGAAAAAAACCCAGCAATTAAGAATATGCGGTTGCGTGATTTCAATCTAGGAAGTAATTGATAATATTGTTCTTTCCCGCGTGTATTATAGTCTACTATAAGGATTATGTCAGCATCTCCATGCTCCCCATAAGAATAGGATAATCGCCTTGAACGTAATTATGTTACTATTACAAAGTCACTCAGGCAGACATTTTTTTACGTAATCCGCACGTAAAACCGATAGTTATAGTAGCGATAATTTATAACAAACGAGCTTCACTAAAAAATATTCACGTGAATTCCAAGCAACACCTATAAAGCGCGATGTACAGGAAGACTTTCACATCAATTTCCTCGATTCAAGATGCGCACGCGCGCACGCGACTCTTGCTTGGGCAGGTGAAAGGAAATTTTATGATAAGAAGCTCGTAATCGTTAAATAGGACACGCTGCGCTCGCTTGACCGACTTATACCGTATTCGACGACTTCGCGACTCTTTTGCCGCCAATGAATAAAATTGGCACAACTGCACCTCGACCAAACGCCACAATTATACGGATAAAGACGGCTTGCCTTTTTCTTCCGTTTCTTCCTTGCTTCTTGCGCTGTTCACTTGGAGTGTACGCTTAATAAAGATTTTTCAGATGCCAAGAGAATGTCGCTTACTTATCCTGTTGGAGATTTACGGATGGGGAAATATGCATACCGAAATCGCGGTTTCGAACGCGTTATATCAATTAGGGTGAAATAAATTTTGCACTGCTATTTATTTACGGGATCGTCGCTTAACGATGTGAGAAAGAGAGCTGTTTACAATTTTGATATCGCAATGTAGATAATTGTTTAAATTATGAAGTTGTCTTGGAAAATAGCACAAAAATAATGGTGTCACCAAGACAAAAAAAGATCAAACAATCACAGTGTCATTCGCCAAAGGTGTGAAAAATTCAACGATCCGCTCTCACTTGTAGCAACTCTCACGCTATAAAATACAGCCGTATCCACGATCGATACAATCAATAAATTCTAACAACTCGACTATTTAGGACAATTGCCCTTTCAACGGCACTACCAGGTTTGTCCTGGCACAGTGCAACGGGTAGCAAGGTCAGGCGTGTGTGTGTGTGTGTGTATGCGTGTGAACACGATGATTTCGCTCACACTGCACAGCATCCATGCACACGTGTGAGAGTAAGAGTCTGGGTCGTGTGAAAAAGCTATACATGTATTCTCCCATAATATTTCGATTTTATTGCAGATTTCGCTTGTCGATGAATGTTTGAATTTTCGTTTTTTTTTTTTATGATAAATTTTATTGGCTTGAGTGTTATTTGCATATACGCGCACTGTGCTAGTTTGATGGAATTGATGAGCAAAACTTTTACACAGTTCAGCATCTGTATTCATTCAATATCTGATTTCTACATATATATTTAAAAGAAAAATTCGTAAAAATAACACGAGGAAAGCATATATGATGAGTTCAAAGTTGTCAATTGACGTCCGCTTTTTTCGGAAGCACCATTATCCACACGTCGAGTATTCCTGAGGAATTTCCAAATAAGTGCGTCAGACACACTGACACTCAGAACCTTAAATATTTGATATGAAAATACTTTAATTTTCGAATTATGCATAGCACTATGCAAGGAAAATATATTTATTATATTTTTTCGCTATCGTAATACATTAATTCACGAGCATAAGTTTGGGTAACGAGAAATAAAAAAAAGTTGATTACGCTAACTTGGCGATAAAAAAATGAAGGAATTACAAATGTAACGTAAGAGCATTTCCCTCAAACGCTTACATGTGTACGGCTAACGAGAATAATCCTGTCTCAGAGCTGTAAATTAAAGCTTGATTTTCTTTCACCCGTAAACACAGTTGCTTATTAGAGGATGGGGTTGACGCGAATATAATGAGCGTTTTAAAGAATCGTTAACGTCTTGCTCAAACATTAAAGTCAATCATTGCTGTGACTAGTTGTTTCAAGGATAATACCGTCTTACATGATTTTGCGAGCCTGATTCCAACGTAAAATTCATTTTTTTTCATGTATGTAATGAGTATTCATGACGTACGGTGACATACAAAAAACAACAGCTTGTGAACATTCTACTGTTAGAAATAAAACGTTTCTTATTTCTCAGTGTCACATTTTTTTTCAAGAGCTGAGCAGAGTTTAATTTGAGACTCGAAGGTGGGCAGTTAAAATGTTTTTCTGTTGTTATCGTAAGAGTTAATGAAAATTATTCCACACTTATCAATGTTGTCGCGTCGCTTGTGCTTGATCAATAGGTAAACAATTTGTCGTTTTTTCTTCCGGCGCAAGGAGAAGAAAAAGTATCCTCGAGCATATTAACACACTGTGCTCATTTGAATTTACATCCATCATGAAGTAATATGTACTTTCCTACTTGCTTGTTTGCCTGGCAAAATCCTATGTAATATAAAGTGCGATTACCGCCAAATTAGACCAAAAGCAAATCGTAAAATACATTAACGCGGCTGACTTCTTGATTTCATAACAATTAATTTCTTCGTGATATGCTTTCACTAATTGGATTCAATTTCTGAAGGACGTAATACTTTCTTGTGTAGATATCAAACATCAAAATAATATTTTTTCCCATCCCTCGTTGAATATGATTTTAGGTAAAGTTATGCGGAACGGTCTGCACTTAACAAAAGTTTTTAGACGTTTCCGATTTTTGGACCATGCGAGTACGCGTGTACAGGTATGTGTTTGCGAGAGAGTTGTCCTGGGAAAGTCATTCCGAGGAAAACGTAACGCTCGCACGTGAAAAACCGCGTAACAAGTTACGCTACTGCAGAAAGAGAGAGAGAGAGAGAGAGAGAGAGAGAGAGAGAGAAAGAGAGAAAGAGAGAGATCGATGTAATATCCATTAGTTCATAGGATTCATAGATTATTTTGTAGACTTGCATTTTTCATGATACTCTATGTGACTTTTAGCAATTGGAATTTTCTTCGAGAGTTTTGTCTATAATTATTAGGTTACTGATTTAACACCTTTCACTATATTATTTCACGGAGAGAATTTTTAAATAAGCCTCAATTTAGACCGTGAGTTACTTTTTCAATATCACTGAAAGGCTTTTCATATAAATATACAATTAGAATTTCATTCCAAAGAGATGTTTATTCGAATAATGATGGCGATACTGTCATGTTTAAATTTCTCTTTGATTTTGTTCTTCTTCTTCTTTTACTGACGTTACCCGAGCTATCAAATACTTTCCAATATTTTACGTTCCCAATGCAATTTGTGTTAACTATCATGGTTCAAGCATCAGGTAAAAATAAAATTCTATTAATTATTGTTTGAAAGCGCGCGTGAGGATTCGGTAAATTTAACAGAATAACACTACGTGCGTGAATGCATATACTTTTTGAAGGTGAAGCGAACTGCAACATTATCTGCATAAGAATCTTCTTTTATTTATTTTTTTTTCATCGTATTATTGTCTCGATGGCTGTATTAAAAAACAATTAAAAATAAATATTTCCCAAAATTACAAAACTTTCTCCGAAACGTAAAGTTAGTATTAATAAATATCTTAGATTCTGATTGACCAATATCCAAAAGCAAGGTAGTCGCAGATTCAAAGAAAATGCAAATACCTCGGAGTTGTCGCATTGCGCAAAGCTTCGGTATATGAACACCTCATGTCAAAGTCCGAAATTCCCCAGACAGGCGGAAAAATTTGTATTCGTTCGTGAAAGGCATCAAGGTCACGTGATCCGAGAGCGCGGCGTCATGGCCCTGACTTCGATCTAACTGTGAAACTGCCTGTTGTGGTCCAAAGTTCAGTCGTCGTCGTCGTTGTGGGGCGTAAACCTTCATATTTTTACTTTATTGACGCCATAATAAGACAAGGTCGAGCAACAGGTGACGATGATGATGCACCTCTTATATACGGCTGACGAAAGTTTTCAAGTGTGCGTAAACGAAACAGGGTAAACTTGTCCTTTTATGAGGTCACAAAATACTTTCCTTTTTCATCATGGACTTTTGCATTCCTCGCGAATGCAAAAATGTTTTACTGAATGCTTTCTTTCCAGAAATAAATGTATATGTGTGTACGTCCGTGCGTGCGTGCGTGCGTGCATGCGTACGTGCGTGCGTGCGTGCGTGCGTGCGTGCGTGTATATGTGTAAAAAGCGGGAAATAGAGAGAGACAGACAGAAATGATCGGCAAAATCCCCGCCTTTTATTTAGAAACTACAAGTCCTACTGCGCTACTTTGATGCGTGTGCGTCGATTTCACGCACAACCGGAGCCGTCACTTTTGTGCGTGATCATCAGAAGACAAAAACGTCAGTACGCATGAATGCAGATTTTTATCTTCCACAAAAGCTGTACAAAAACTCGAAATTACTGTTAGAGCTTATATATTGCCGATTTACATGTCACGTTAAAAGTAAACGTGATGTTACGCTGACGTTAAACGACATGTAATGTTTTTTACCACCTATCAAACGACAACTTTGTCCGGCTAGATTCTTTTTTTGCTAATCTATAAGTACCTATTAAATGAAATCATACGTATCATTAAAAGGATACATTTTGAATTATTCATGTAACTTGCTCGCGTGAAAAAGATCTACGACTTGTCTTACAATTAATTTGAGAACTGTAATGAATAATATTTTTAACGTATATCACATAAGATTGTTAAATTAAATAATTAAACACGAGAACATCGAAAGCAAACTGAAAAGTTACGCAGATTAATGATTCTATATCTGCAAAGAAAAATCGGTAAGTAATACTTGCTAACTGTAAGATCAACTAACTGTAAGATCAGTGTATAAATTCATTTTCTCTTGGATCTTATCGATCTGAAATAATCAGTTGTAACCGGAGACGTATCAATAGAAAAGGGACCCCAACCACGTGAAATTACAGTAGCATATAGTCGAGAACACAGGTGTGCGCACGCACTAGTAAGAGATAATGGTTCTCGCTGCTGTGTGGAT